TCACAAAAGTCTTCTCTTAAATTTGACCCTAATCATAGGTTTTTGCAAGATTGCGAAGACATTCTCAATTTGGCACGGAACCTGGTTTAAGTTTTTAAAATTTAGCATGTTAAAAAATAGATTTTTAGGGGAGCATCTGAGATGATCACCTAACTTCAGCTTTGTAGTTATATTTGTCACCATCATTTAGCTTGAATGAGTTACAGTAAGTATATTTGATGTCTTCTTCTATCTCCCTCATGTTGGCATAGGCTTCTTTCAGTCAGGACGTCATTTTAAGAAAGAATAAGTGCAAATATTTATTATATGTAGTTGGGTTGCTTGGTTTTTATTTGAAAATGTGCCATTGATTCGATTGGGACCGTATGGCGTCGTCCTGTAATCAAGAAATCAAGCTACTTGGAGGCCACGAACTGTGAAAATGTATCGACATGATGCACATATTATGTGCATCGTAGGGGTCTCAAATACCGGGCCGGGATTTGGGGAATCATCTAAGCCGATCCCGGATACCCGGGATCAATTCCAGAATTATATTATTTTACGATTTTAACTTTTTAGCCATTGGGCGTGATGAAGTCACCTTGTCCTTGTCGAGTCCTCTGTTTTAAACTGGCCTTACCAGTGTTACACTTTGCGCATTTTTCCGTTTTCTAAGTAAAAAAAAAATATTACCAGATGCAACTTTCAACACGTCATACAGTATATAAATGTCACTCTAGAATTTAATAAATACATTTTATAATCACGAGCAACCGCACTCGCATGTAGCCTACACGACACGCTTATTATAAAAAATAAAAATATAAAGATAAACAGATAATGGGAAAGAATCACGAGTGACCGCCCAAAAAATGTGGTGAGTGTCAGCAATAAAACAAAGGTACTGTAAAACAATAAACCATCTGCTTATGTATCGTGTAGCTTGTGTGCGAAAAACTTAATTTAGGATTGTAAAAAACGTAATCACCTCACTAAAAACCAAATATGAAGATAAAGTTATAGACACTATAAATATAAAATATATAAGCAATCGCAATGAAATAATAAATGGTGTGATTATAGTTAATTTTTAGACCTTCAATGTTATTAAGAAAATACTACTTCAATTTCCGATTGCCATCTTATATGTTTGCCACATCAATAATTAATAAATTGTTGATTGCGTTTTAGGTGAAAAGTAAAACTCAAAATATCTTATTATAGGCCTACTGTAATTAACTTCTAATCAACTAAAATAATAACATTTAAGTTGCAAAGTAAATAGAATTCGTCTATAACATGAAACATATATTTACACTACGTTCACCAACAGTAGGCAAATGAGTTTAATGATAATTAAATTATCCAATCGAAATAGGTCACAACTTACCATATTTCATAAATATTCATCGTCCTAAAAATAAACAGTACTTATACGTATTTTATTTAATATTTATTTATTTTCCGCAGGAAAACTCTAAAAAAATTTAAACAGGTTTTGCAATCCCGTTAATTCAATTCCCATATTAAAAGACGCCAATCCCCGGATTTATAAGTATCAAAATTGACCTGGATTCGGGATATCGGGATTGAGATCCCTATGTGGTGCGATTAACACCTCTAGTGAACGATTGTCTGCAGAACTATTCTGATAATTAGACCAATTCGTAAATTACAAGGCAAAAATGTAGTTTTCCACTATAAACTGTAGGTTCCTTGGTTACAATTGGCTGTATGGGATATTATAAACAGTCCTGTCTGGCAAGACTATTTCATTTAAAACATACTTTTAAATTAAAGGTAAAGCGGCCCACACACTACACGTGCATTGCACGCCATGCAAGCACGTCGTGCCAAAAACAGACGAAACGTGCAAGTGTGTAGTGAACACCGTGTGCATTGGCATGGCACGGTGAAAATCAAAACGAGTTTGATTTTTGGCGTGCCATGCCAAAGAACGCCGTTCTGACGTGCTAGTGTGTAGGCGGTCCCGTGCCACGTGCTAATAGTTCCATCACTTTTGACAGGGTTTGACCCTATAACAGTAATTTCTTATTAGTGAATCGACGGAATTTTGTCTTTGGCACTACCATCGAGATTAAAACACAATGGATCGCGCGCCGTATGCGATGAGTAAAGCCGAGACGCGGTCATTGATCTTTATATAATACATATAATAGAGCATACATCCTCCACCATAGTATTGTGAACCAAGTGCCCTGTCGGCGTATATCTGTACGGCAGCTAGGTGCAAGGTCTGGACTAACCTTAGCCGACTTAGTGCTGTCTAGTTTCTATTTTTAATGATTAATTAATTATGTCCTTAAAACATGCCATGTGTTTGTGTGTTCTGCATTTAATTTGTACGATCAGACAATGTAATTTAGCACGTTGCAGGTTACACTGATGATCAAATGTGTAGGCATCAACGTGCCATTCTAGAGCACGGCGTGCCAATATAAAAATTGCATGGCGCGCAATTCACGTGTAGTGTGTAAGCCGCAAGTGTTTTGAAAAAAGGTACGTTTGACAGTGGCTAAAAGTGAATTTTAAATAAAGTTGAAACTACATTATGCAATTTATTTATTCGTAAACTAAGACATTATGGATCGTAAAAGTTGCGCAGTAACATAATCAATGATGCACTAGGTAAAAAACTAGGGAACGATGGAACAAGAGCAACAGCTCAACAGCTGCTCCCTTTCCACAACCGTCTCGCCCCAGTAATAAATCCTACTTTTTTTTAAACATAGGAACATGTTCCTAGGGTCTGTAACAGACTACTGCTTTCTCATTCTAGTAAAAAGGAACTGAATAAATGTAACAGTTACAACAAGAAACTGTCCTTACCCATTGTCTTGGTTGACTATTGTTTGTTTATGTTGGCGTTTTTACCCTGCCGCAAATCCTATTATAATTATCTCCCTCTTCATAATTAATTAATTGTCTCAAATAAAATCAAATCATACCAGCATAGTTTGAGATACAAGATTACACATTTTTAGACGGTGTTTAACGGACAGTTTTTAATATGGTTTTGGATTACTTTGCCAGAGCTTAAACATTTCAAAATACTACCCTAGGCAACTGTAATGACAAAATGGTATATCAGATGCTTCATAGGTTGTGCAAATGAGTAGGCCCCTACCTATTTCCCCCTAAATGTTGAATGCGTGTAACTTTAAAATTAAATCTTTTCCATTTCTAAAACGCGATTGCTCATAATGAAATGGAAAAGTTAAAACCATTAGGGGCGTGGAATTCAATATAGAATAATTATTTTTGAATACTGTACCTAAGTTAGATAGCCTATTGTAACTAAGTATGTACTAGCCCTGTAGCTGTTAAGTTACATACACCCTACTTTTTATGATTTTGAAGATCTCACTAAAGGACCATCATAACAAACCCTCTAACTTGTTTTTTTTATTAATATTTCTGTATTTATGAACTTAAGCTATTTATGAACTCAGCGATTTTTTAAAACAATAAATCGAGGCAACCTTAAAACGTGAATTGAACGGTGAAGGCGTTTGTTCCAAAAGTTCCAAAGGAAAAGAGCGCTTAATTAGAATTGCCTAATTTAGCTAATAGGCTAAAACAAATTTTGAAAAAATAAACTTATAAGTAGTAGTCAAGTTCATAATAACCCATAGGCCTACTTCTTTAATTTATGGAAACATCAACTAACAACTCATGAGTAGTAAAATAAGACTAGACCACAAAATATTACAGGGATTCCGGATTCCTTTTCTCTCCGATCTTATACATGAAGGAGTATAGCCTGGTTTACACGGGTCGAGTATGTCAGACGAGTTATTCGGCCCAGTTACTAGGCCCAGTTGTTGATTTGTTCAACTCGCCCGGTACTTGACTAGACTGTCTACACGCATTCCTAATTCCTATTTCGAACAGCGACCGACAGTGTATGCACAGAGAAGTAATTTTTATAATTTCTCTGTTCTGTGTTCTGTGGTGTAGGGTATTCCGTATACCGTAGCTTTCGTGTTAAATGTTGTTTGAGTTTAAAATGGGACTTTAAGAGTTTAATGCTGAATTTATAAATTAATTAAATCACTGAATTAGATTATTAGAATTAAAACTGAATCATCCATTAAATTCAGGGGGTGCTTAAAAGTATTTTTTTTAATACGATAGACCAAAGTGGAAGGTGATATTCTAAAAGAATAAGATTTGTTACAAATTACTATACCGGTACTGCATTTCTTTAAAATAAAATATATAGGCAACCAAAAGTTGCCTCCAAATAAAAAAATATGAAAACACCGTTTTCAATGTATTTCTGATAGATCTTAAGTTGTACAACAATTTTGAAAACTGAATTTTATAAGAGTGAGTAGATTTAAGTACAGCAAAACAATGCAACGCAGGGCCAACTGTTCAACTGAACCATTTAGTATTGAGGGTGATTAGGCATACACTACTGAACTAACCCCAAAAATACTGATCGTTGTGATCGACTTATTGTCAGCGACCACAAAATAACAAAAAAATATTTTTATTCTGTGGTCGCTGGACTCACTTGAGAGCAGTAAACAGATGTTTTGCGGGCAAATCGTGGTGGGGGGGTAGCTACTGGGCCGAGTAACTCGGTTTTCAACTAAATCACTCGACTCGCTCTCAACTGACCTCTTTTTATCAACTCGCCCGTTGCTCGACTCGCCTGCATGTCTACACCAAGCGAGTTAAATAGCGAGTGGCAACTCGCACACTGACTCGCCCGCCGTACTCGACCCGTGTAAACCAGGCTTATATGCTTTAGAGCTTCCTGTAGGCCAAGTCCCGAGTCACGAATGGCGAAGGGAGGGACGACAAGGGACTTTTCCATCAGGAACGGTTCCATCCAATCTGTTCCATAGAGGAACTAACAGTTGCAGTAAAAAAAGTAGGATTTATTACTGCAGCGAGACGGTTGTACCTTTTCTATGGGGATGGGTGGAATTGGAACGCAACAGAACAGGGAAAAACAAAACAGTAAATAAACAAACAAACAAAAACTAGCCTTTCTAAGTTCGAAGGCTACTTTTCTGTTTTCTTTCGAATACATTTTAAAACCAAAAGTCTGATTCTGCCTTCTGTTTCAAGTTGTTAATTGTTATGAAGCTAGCTCATAATGTTTTCCTTTCCAAATATTATTACTAATGCTGTGCCCATTATTGTTGGTGGTATGAGTGTTACGCTTGCTGCATACATCACAAGGAAATATTGGCTGAAAGAAGATATAAACGACGATGATGACTTTGTGAATGAAGTGTTATTTTTCAGCAACCAAGGAATAGCATGTAGGGACCATTTCAAGAATGAACTTATCAATAAAAAGACTTGTCATTTAGAAAATTGCTCTTACTACAATTTAAGGTTAGTAGGTAGGTTACCGGTACTAGGCCTAACTTAAACTTTATTAGCCTAGGCCTAACTTAGGCCTATAGGTTTGGTTTGGTAATATAAACATAGGCCTACCGGCTGCACTTTACTTGACGTCCTACACTCATTCGATTGTTTTTTCGATTCGATATTTTCATTCGATTGTTTCGTTCGATATATCGTTTGGTTAGTTAGGTTAGGTTAACCTTACCTAACCAACCAAACGATATATCGAATGAAGCAATAGATTAATCGATATATCGATCGATATTTTCATTCGAATGAGTGTAGGACGTCAAGTAAAGTGCAGCCGGCCTACCATAGGGGTTACTATTCACTTTCCCCAACTCACCTAAAACGTCCTATAAAATGTATTAACTTAAACTGTTCCTGGACCCCAACACTACAACTTTCTCAAATTACTTTGATTGCCATGACTTCCTGTAGACACCACGCCTAGATTACTAGACACCACCCCTGAAAAACTCGCTTAACCCTCCCAGTGTTACTTGACAAAAATTCGACAAGCAGCACACTTTGTGTAGTGTTACTTGTCGATTTTTCGACACGCAGACATCGTTTACGGCGAAGGCTCTATGACTGACTGAATCGTATTGAACTGGATCGAGTTAGGTATCGTTCTTTCCGTAATATTCTAAGCTTTCTCCAGAGGTCTGTCTCAGTGCTGTACGTTCTCTGAGCCGATCGTAATTGTAGCAGACAGCTGACGTGCGTGTATTTGTAAACAGCTAGGTTACCCTCGGACCGATGACTGATGTGTTTTATTACGTTTATCATTGTTTTAGTGTTAAAAATCAAAAGTAGTGATATACGTGTTGCATTATAAGAAGATTTAAGTGGTTTTGAAGTGCTGGTTGATGATCCTGAAGAAGTAGGTAGTGATATTGATGTAAATTATCAGCCAGATTCCTAGCTATGGTTAGGCTATGTATTCTTAGCTAAACGCTATGTACTGAAATCTGTTTTTTGCCCATAACTTATTTATTTGCAAATCTACTTCCTTATATTATTATATATTTGTAATCCTCATAAAATTTAGAACAATGTGGCTATTTTCAAATATTTATAGGCCTATAATTTATACAATTTCATTGAGCGCGAACTTATTTTTATTTTTGAAAATTTTCAAAATTATATTTTTTTTACCTAAAAATTTTTTTTTGAAAAAATGTTCCTTATGTTTTATATATAATATTGAAGCCCATGATTTTCCAAACAAAATGGTATATAGAACATTAGAATTAACATTGTTTTAAGCTTCTCAGATCCGTTTTAATAAAACCTTGCAAATGCGCCAAAAATAGGTGGACATTAAGGCCTAAACTATGGACACTTGGAGGGTTAATCATCGTGACAGGGCAGTTCATTACTATAACTAGACATATCACCAAAATTAAGCCGCGTTTACACCGGAGTTAATAACATAAAGTTAATTAACTTTTGTTATTAACCGGCAGTTATTAACAAAAGTTAATAACAGAAAGTTATTAACAAATTATTTTGTACTTCAGTTTTTGTTAAAAACATTTATGTTAAAAACATTAAGTTACTCCACTATCTTGAATCATTGCTCATGCACAGTCAGCAGTTGTAGATGAGACAATGGTGCGAGAGGATGACGTGGTTCTCGCTGCAGCTGTGTGCGTTGTTTTGGCTACTGCTGCCCAAAGGAGACCTAGGAGATACTGTGTGAAACCGTCACTCAGAGCAAGGACTTTGTACAGTGGGAGTGATATGTTAAGTGATATGCAAGAAGACAATCGTGACCCTCTTTCAGGTGAGCTAAGGTGCGATGGAAGCATAAAGAATTTCCTCCGCATGACCAGCTGTGATGTTGAGAGTCTGCTGCAGTTGGTACTTAGGGGCGACTAGCGCGCTCTCTGTAGCACGATGCTGGGCACGGGGGTTGCGGGGAAGAGAGGGGCCTGTTATTAACAAAAGTTAACGCGCTAAAAGGGACCATTAACTTTTGTTATTAACATTTGTTAAAAACATAACACATTTCCTTTGATCTTTACCGACTCTTGATGGATAACATAAATCTTGTTAATAACAAGGAATTTTCTGTTAAAAACACGAGTTATTAACTTTTGTTTAGGGAAATTTTTGAGCGATTCTGTTATGTTAATAACTTTTTGTTAAAAACACGTGTTATTAACTCCGGTGTAAACGCGGCTTTAGCCTAATGGACACCACACACAGATTACTAGGCACCATTACCAACATAACTAGACCACCCGTAATCTAGCCCTACCATAGAACGGAAGACAATGTCGTCCCTAATGATTCTTCATCAAAGAAAATAAGTTAATGATTTCAGGTACCTCTCAAAACATGGCGAGGACTACAAGATGAGAAGATAACTACCGTAAGCCATTGAAAAACTTAAGCCACCCAAAACAGTGTAGGCCTACCGGTATACAATTGGTAGGATTGCAATGACAACAAGGCCAGATCATTTAAAAACTTTCGCCTAAGCCTATAACTTATGTGGGACTTAAATGCCATGGAAATGTTGGGCAAAGGTTTATCAACATGTTTGATCCAGAAACACCACAATTTAAATTTACCATAACACTTTAGGTACGGTACCGGAAGTGTAAAAAATAAAAATATAACTGTGGTCGATGAACTTGTCATCAAATTGGGGAGCTTGGATGATTAACTTAGAATTTCACCTCTGACTTTTATGACATGAATCAAAAAAATTTGGAGTTAGTCCAACCTTTGCCAGTGAACATCGATTAGCGTAAACGCTAGTTTTTGAAAGAATTGACTTTTTTAGCCTTAACAAAATGCCGTCTGAAACATTTTTGGCAATTTTATGCTTATAGAAAATGCTTACGTTTGTGGGACTAAGACTGAAACAAAACAACTCAACCCACAGAGCAAGAGCATTCCTGAAAAAAAAAACAAAAAAAATCATGGCCATTGTTTAATTATCCAACAATTATTTATTCTAATGAACTTCAATACCAGAATACAACTTACTTTATTAGGCAGAGTTTTTTTAATCAACTCCAAAATATGTTTAAGAGCTACGACTATTTATTTTTATTTTTAGATATTACAAAAATATTTCCCCTCGGCTGTACGCCCTGCTCTGGGAGCTTGTGCCTATTGGGAGATCCGGCCCTGGCTAGCTGGCAACCGCCGGCAACTGCAATGCCAATAGAGAATGAGTTGTTGTTTATGATTCATTCAAGATTGTTTTATTTGGTTAAACGAGGTTTATAACGACTGAAATAACAAGAAACAAATTGTAAACAAAATTCAACCCGTACATTTCATTTCATTTTCATTTATTCATTTCTACGGCAAATGCCATTAAACAATACATATCAAAACAAGATGGTCTGCAAAAATAAATACAAGAGTAGCAAATATACATGGAACAATACATTCAAGAGACTAGACAGATTGTATAGAATGATCCGACTCATTACAAAATAAAACATGCATGAACAAGTAGAATAAATAGTTGCAGACTAACATTACAAGAGACATCATATTATACTAATTGTAACGACAGAATAAATACTCAATACAAAATATTATACATATACATGAAGAAGCAAAATAGTTTAAGACTGACATTACAAGAGATATTCTATAAATTGGTGTAAAATACCTGCATTTATGCGATCTTGTGTTGTAGCTGAGTTGCTACCGGTTTCAACTCACATTGGAGTCATCTTCAGGCGGTTATAAGATGTCTTCTCGCTTCATTCGAAGGTCGTCAAATGGATAATAAATAAACAAAACACAAACACGTACACGGACATAAAAACGAACATTTAAAGCTGTAAAAATACTGAACACGGTAGGCCTACGGGACACGACACGACGTGATGCTCTAGACATAACTTTCGCCCGATCACGTCGTGTCGTGTCCCGTAGGCCTACCGTGTTCAGTATTTTTACAGCTTTAAATGTTCGTTTTTATGTCCGTGTACGTGTTTGTGTTTTGTTTATTTATTATCCATTTGACGACCTTCGAATGAAGCGAGAAGACATCTTATAACCGCCTGAAGATGACTCCAATGTGAGTTGAAACCGGTAGCAACTCAGCTACAACACAAGATCGCATAAATGCAGGTATTTTACACCAATTTATAGTATTTAAATGCGATCAGGAGGCTAAAATTCAATATAATGAAGAGATATTCATATCACTAGTTATATAACAGAATAAATACCACAACAAGAAAAATAAAATACAAGACAGGAACAAGGCAAATTAATCAAATTTTACATGACTCATATTCTGTAACTTCGGTAGGATTCAATCAGTCAGGAGCTCGAGAGCACACTTACGGACCCGTTGAAGACTGTCAAAGAATAGGTCACACTCCGACGCCACTTGGTTTCCCAGTCTTACAAAGCGAGCCAGAGGACTGTAGTAGTCGTAGTTGGTAGATTGGTGGCGGCGACTCAGAAGTCCATGGGACCTGGTACTTGATGGTACTTTGAAGAACATTTCAGACAAGAGGTCTGCACACCGTACATCACCGTTCAGGAGTTTCAGGAGATATACCACATCTGCCACGTCACGTCTCAGAGCAAGGGGATGGAGTTTCAATGTTTCAGACAGTTCAACAACATGCACATCCAAGTACACATAGCCAAGTCGAATTCCGACCAGACGAATGAAGCGCCGCTGCAGAGACTCCAGTCTGGTTTTGGCCAGGGCTGTGTAAGGGGACCATACAGGGCTGGCGTATTCAAGAAGTTGACGGACGAGTGCACAATAGAGTGATCGAAGAGCAATTGGGCTGTTGATTCCTCTTGAGAAGCGTGAGATGAAGCCGATCATTTTACTGGCCTTACTACAGATTATGTCGATGTGGCTTGAGAAGCTCATGTCACTATCGAAGTAAACACCCAAGTCCTTTATTTTCTTGACTTTTGGGATTTGAATACCCGAGATTAGGTACTGGTATTCAGCTGGAGACTTTGATCGGCAGAATGTTATCATAGAGCATTTGCTGGGATTGACGGACATGCCATTAGCACTGCACCACTCGTCGATTGCAAAAAGACTGTGCTGCAACTTCTGATGATCTCCGTGTGATTTCACTTCTGTAAATATTTTCAGGTCATCTGCAAATTGTAGAGCGTCGACATAGATCACGTCCAGGAGGTCGTTGATAAATACATTAAAGAGACATGGGCCCAGCAATGAACCTTGTGGGACCCCAGAAGATGGAGAGAACTGGGGTGATCTAGATGGACCAATTTTCACTGATAACATGCGACCTTGCAAATAGCTAGACAACCAAGATAACAGCGGGCCAACAATACCATATCCTTCAAGCTTAGATAGTAGGATGGAGTGATCTACTCTGTCAAACGCTTTGGACATATCGATATAAATAGCGTCAACTTGTTAACTCTTCCGAAAGGCAGCCAGGACATATTCTTGGAATAGCAGAAGGTTGGACACTGTAGATCTACCTCTTACAAAGCCATGCTGAGACGGGTGAATGATGCTTGAGATGTGAAAGTTGAGCTTGTCTAACACAAGGCTCTCGAAGACTTTACCCAAGACAGGCAGGATGGTTATTGGACGATAGTTCTTTGTGTCAGCAGGGTCACCAGCCTTGTGTATTGGTGTGATATAACCACTCTTTAGTACAGTACCCTACAGTACACCAGACAGAACACTAACAATAAAACTGGCTTCAGCTCATAAAGTACATAGCCTAAGGATAAGAAATATTTTAAGGGAGTATGTTTTATCTGTGGTGAAGGTGAAAATTGGGGTTTCTTTTTTTTACTAATGTACAAATATGGCAACACAGATTTTTGGATAGAATTTTTTTAATAACTTATTTAGATGAAATTATAATTTTGTCTGATAAAATACCGTAGTTTCTCTGCGGTACTGTACCCATTACATCCAATTTATCAGCCATTAAGGTTCAAAAGGTTGGTTCTCAACTTAAACACAATTCTAGGCTACAACCCAAACTCCACACAATTATTAGGCCTACATGTTTTCCTGTCTAGTTTAGCAATAATTGATACAGTATTAGGCTTCAATTGATTTCCATACACTTTCCTCATTATTTCATCTTTTCAGGCGTATGATTTACTACCTTGAAAAAACAGAAAGAACTCTGGATATCTGCCTATACTTGATAACATTGTTCGATCTTAGTCAAATTGTTGTCCAGGCTCACAAGAGGGGGGTCAAAGTGAGAATAATAACAGATGAAGATATGGCTAACGGATCTGGGTCCCAAGTACACAGTTTCTTTGAGAATGGTAAGCACGTTTATTAATGTAAGTAACTTATTAATGTAAAAATGTTAAATGCAATGCAATGACAAAACCAAAGTCATGGGACAAAATTATCTCAGCCAGTTCATTTTAGCCAGGGTACTTATCGAACTTGCACATAGTTATTTAACCCAGCCCACTGATAAGTAATGGAGTTTTCCGTCTGTAAATAAATAAATAAATATTCTGTTACGTTGCATTAAACTGATATGCTGTTTGAACACAGGATTTTCAGACCATTTGCCAGTGATTGAAAGAGGATGTCAAGTAGGCCTACCGTATAGCAGCATTTTAGGCTCTCATACCTGATTTTCTTATTTTTTTTTAAAGGTTTCCCGATAAAAACTAACCTCAATAAATTAAATTAATTTTACATAAAATCATAGCAATATTTAACCCTCCGAGTGTCCCTGGTTTTGGCCTTAATGTCTGCCTATTTTTTGCTCATTTGCAAGGTTTTATTAAAATGGATCTGAGAAGCTTGAAAACAATGTTAATTATACTGTTCTATATACCATTTTGTTTGGAAAATCATGGGCTTCAATTATATACATAAAACATAAGGAACATTTGTTTCAAAAAATTTTTTTAGGTAAAAAAAAATATTTTGGAAAATTAAAAAAGAAAAATAAGTTTTATAAATATTTGAAAATAGCCACTTTGTTCTAAATTTTATGTGGATTACAAATATATAATAATATAAGGAAGTACATTTGCAAATAAATAAGTTATGGACAAAAGACAGATTTCAGTACATAGCGTTTAGCTAAGAATGCATAGCCTAACCATAGCTAGGAATCTGGCTGATAATTTACATCAATATCACTACCTACTTCTTCAGGATCATCAACCAACCTTTCAAAATCACTTAAATCTTCTTAGAATGCACCACGTATATCACTACTTTTGATTTTTAACACTAAAACAATGATAAACGTAATAAAACACATCAGTCATCGGTCCGAGGTTAAGCAAGCTGTTTACAAATACGCACGTCAGCTGTCTGCTACAATATTTTCAGAACTAAAATGAATAGCGCTTAGAGACAGACCTCCGGAGAAATCTCTGAATCTGTAAAATAAAACGATACCTAACTCGATCCAGTTCAATCCGATTTCGTCAGTCATAGAGCCTTCGCCGTAAACAGTGTTTGTGAGTCGCTGCAGCGACACAAAACACTACACAAAGTGTGTTATGTGTCGCTGCAGCGACAAATGACACTCGGAGGGTTAATAAGCTAATGTTATGTTAAAAATAGACCACTCTGGGTTTTTAATTTTATAAAGCGGTATAAAACGAGATCTTCTTGACCCTGCAGGCGGGATTTTTGTTTTGGTCAAGTATAAACCCTGGTACCAACTAGGCCCGTGGTTAGTATCAGTGTTTCTATACGCGGGATTATTATCCCAAAAACGGGATTTTTAGACCATGAGCGGGATTAAAAGGGGATGCAGGATTTTCGGCTATGATGTTTATTTATATTTTTCTCTACTTAATTTTAGAGAAAAACTAACTCCAATTGATCAAACTACTATAGGCTATCAAAATATAATAGTAATATTTGAACAACTATTTAAACATGATATATAAAAAATAACACTCGGGATTGTTTAACAAAAAACATGCGGGATGAAACAGGATCTTTTATTATTTAAAAGCGGGATTGAAATGGGATTTCTCGACCCAGTAAGCGGGATTATTTTTGGGTCGTGTGTATTTAAAATACTGGTTAGTATGTGATGCGCTGTGACATGCCCCCCCCCCTCCATGCCGACATTGATTTAAATCATAAAATGAATACCAGTTACACGGGCATCTGCAATATAACAACGATACCTTACCTTACCTACGTGGGCACTCATACCCCAACAAGTTTTTGGCCTCGCCAACAGCCGCTCGCCATCCTTCTCGGTCCTACATGAGATCTAGCTTATTGTTGTTATCTGGCAATAACAACTATTGGGTTTACTTTAACATTACTCGCATAGTAAAGTAATAAGGCAATCCATCAAGCAAATATAAAATAAGTTGAACTTTGACCCACAAACACATTCATATTTATAAGGGTACGTTAAAGTTCAATTAAAAAAAAAATGTTTTTATTTGAGATGTTATTGTAAACATTTAAAACTCTTAACACGTTCACTGCTGAAAACCTTTATACAGGTGCTCCTAAACTGCGGAGCCCCGGCACGCTAACTGAATCAGCGATCGCTATTGGCATTGAAATATCTCAGTAAGACAAATTACAAAAAAACAGTGGTGATTGTTTTGCGTTACCCCGAAAGTGGACGTAGTTCACTGAAACACCCAAAGGTAGTAGCACTGCCTGGATCAATAACCAGAGTCTTTGTAATATGGCTCGAATAGAGAAAATCCCCGAAAACGGGACAAAAGCATTGCCAGACGGGATTTTACGGGTCGGTTTAGTACCAACCTACACCAAAATAAAGCTCGCATTCTACGCTACAGGCTGGCAACAATAATTACAACGATCCCCGGCAATGGCTGAGCTCACATTGAAGCAAAGTTGCTGGCATTAATTGGTGAAGGACGTGATTTCCCACCACCACTGCTTTTTTGCACCAGTGGCGCCGGTACCGCGGGGCAAGAATTCCCGCCCCTCGTTCTGAACGTGTTAAACAGTCATAAATTACTGGTTTTATCCTACATTTTTTCGGTAAACTCATAATTGTTCATTTTTAGGGTTACATCACTTTCTGTACGTATGATTATTTAGGCCTAAATGATTTTAATGACGCTGTAAGCTACTTATTTTAGGAACTTTTTGTAACGATATTTCACTGTCCAAAAGTTTTTTGACCCCCTCTTTCTAAACTCACTGCCACTTGGTCTTTTGCTTATTTCATAGGAAAAGGATGTGATGCTATTACAATGCTAAATAAAACTCGTCAAACGTAAATATAATCATAAGCAATAACATGGTAGTAACTTTATTTGCTAACCAATTGATAATATGTTTCTCATCCAATTTGACTAAAGGAACTCACATTGGTGAGTGAAGGAAAAATTACATAAAAAATAAAAAGCCTACAAATAAAGATGAGGGAAAAACAAGTAGCGACATAATAATATCGCTATTATTAGTATCTTTATAAATAATTATTATATCTTTTTGGTATATAAATATACAAGATTTTAGGCGTACCAACACGTTAGCAGGCAACATACGGCTGTCCGTTGCGGATATTGCGGAGCATTTAAATTTAAACGTTGCTGAGTGCACAGGTGTGCTGTGATTGGGGTGTATTATATTTGGACTGGATTTATGCAAAATAAAATAGTTTTCTGTGCTGCATTCTGTGGTAACAGTGTTGCACTATTTCAAATCATGACTAATACAGAATGTTGTGATGATTCAAAACTATAAAACAGATGGTGAAAGTAAACATCTGCTTTTAAATTATATTTATTTGTAAACATTGTGGTTCCAAAAGGGTGACATTGGACCCCTTAAAACCCTCTGTGGCGGAGCCCTTTTGACGGATCTGCACCAAACTTGACAAAAACCATCCTTGCATAATGCCTGAAAGTTTCATTACAATCTGTCGAGCGGATAGAGATAGATATAGATAAACTACCACCACCCACCTGTTTTGCGCATGCCAAGGTAAATGTTTCCTCCCTTGTTACACAGGAAACAAAATAGCTTCAATTTGACGTAAAAAATGTTTAGTTACCTTGAATAGTAACATAGACTAACCAACCACAAGTAGACTTCTCATCCCATTGTAAATGTTGAAGATTGTATTTTGTCTAGTTCATGTACGGTGACACTGGGTGCTAGCGTCGAGCAAATTTTGTTTCTATTATTTTAACACTAATAATGAAACCCTACCCAGGCTGATGTTTACCAAAACCCCCGGTCTGTTAGTTCTATTAAGTTTTTCAAAATCAATACGTCAAGGTCAAACGCCTCACTCAAACTAAACACGTGGCAGTGCTTCCGGACTTTAAGGGTCGGGGGAAGGTAAAAAATGTACCATCTGAAATTGGGCTGCTCGCCCACCACAGTGAACCAGTGTTTGCCAACATTAGATAATGAAATTTCCCCCATGGCCTCACAGACCAGGGTTTTGGTATTAGTGTTAAGGTTAATTTCATGATTTGAGGTTTACCTCTGGGGACCTCAACTTGAAAAAGTAAATCGGTCCCGGACCCAGGCCTTGAGACCTCCGGTAATAGCTTATTCCCTATATAGGAAATTCGTACAAGTAAGTTATTGATGTGTTTTAGGTATCCCAGTCAGATTCAGACGTAAATGCACGACGTTGATGCATCACAAGTTTGTCATCATTGACAAAAGACTCCTGATGACTGGGTCTCTCAACTGGACGATGCAAGCCTTATGTGGAAACTGGGACAACCTAATAATCACGTCCCAGCGTCAGATTGTAGCTGCTTTTATCTCTGAATATGAACGACTCTGGCAAGACATGAATTAAATATCTTCTATGTGAACAAAGAAGGCTGTTGGCAAATAGAATACATTTGCCAACACTTGTAACACATTACATTTACATTGTGTTGTACATTTGTGTTACACTTAGGCCCGTAAGTTTTTTGAAACTGCATATGTTTTTTTATGATCTCGTGAAACTACCAGTGTGCTGGAAAATTGAACATAACGTTTTAGGTTTGTATCCTGAAACCCTTATTAATTAGGTCTTGCTTTAAAATAAGAAATAGAGTACTCAAACAAATAAGGGTCTTGATTGATATTTTTATATTTTTACAAGAATGGACTGGACAGTCTTTGAAACTAGCCTTATGTTTGATAGTAAATAAATAAATGAAACAAAAAAATGTTTGTTTCACTGCGTTTTATTAACCAATATAGGCATACTTAACAGTAAAAAATATTTTTGTGCAAAAAATTTCATAAGCTTGCTTTAGCAGTAAAATAGGCTAAGGCTATGTGAATATGAAATATATACGTAGCGAGTCCAATAATTCCAAGATATAGTCAAGAAATGGTGTTCTAGAGTATGTTATGAAGTTAATTTTTTCTGTTGAAGTATATTCTGTATGAAGTGTATAAAGGTCCATTGTTGTACACTTTATTTTTCACTATCACTTTCCTACTTCACAATTTTTTATTACTTACACAGTACTATCAAGGCAACACTGTTTATTTAGTTGCCTAGGTACTATTCGGTCTTTCTCGAATTTAAGTGAGTCGGCTCAGTTGGTAGTGACAGACACAATGAGGAAAAACTTACTCATACGCCTAGTACGAACACTAAGTTTGGTCATACGAATGATTGTTTATACGTGGTTATATGATGAAATATTCTAAAAAAATAAAGGTGAGTTTGTCTTAAAATTAAAACTGAAAAAGTATATTTTCTCAGTCTCTCAGCAGCTACCTGGTCATGCGTTTGTTTATTTGTGACTAATTTATCATTTCTGGTTTAGGGCCAAAAGACCCTCCTTAATTCTCTATTAGAGCATAACCATTTTATCAATTCAAAATTATCCAAACTTTGAGAAAATCCAAATTTGTGAATGTTATATTGTACCAATAATCAATTGACCAACTATCTATTGAGCAGTATTTTATTTTTTATTTTAGAAAATCTTGAAATTTTTGTTTCAGTATGGAAAGGGGCAGGTAGCTAATTTAGGTAGGATGTGTAAAGGGGGAGTATTATTTGGGGGAGATTTGTGCTCCTGACCTCAGGGGGGGGGGGGGCGATGGCACACTCGGATAAAGAATGTACAATTGGATCAACAACTCCAATGAAAAACTAGGAAAATAACCATTAATCTTCTTTTATTACATAGAATAAAATAGTTTTTTTTGTTTTTGCACAACACGAGCAAGTTATAATAATACAAAAAATAATAAAAAGTACCTGGGGACCGAGCTTTGCTTGGGAAAAATCATGAGTTTACCCTGAAAGCAGTCTTAGTATTGCAGATACTTGAATCCATTCCCCACACTCCGCACTGCTAGCCTTAAATAATTCTTTCACCATTTGCTGTGTCGTGGACATGTTTCCATCCTTTCTCATAGGATTTCAGTATTGCAGATACATTATTCTAACTGCTACAAACTGTTTCCAGTTCCCACACTCCACACTGCTCGCCTTTTCTACTTCCTTCACCCCTTCCTAGGTCGCGGACCTGTTTCTCTCTCTTCCCATAGCATTTTAGGATTGCAGATACCTTAATCTAATCGTCATAAACAGTTCCCACACTCCGGACTGCTCGCCTTTACTACTTCCTTCATCACTTCCTATGTCGCGGACCTGTTTCCTTCCCTTCCCATAGCATTTAAGGATTGCAGATACCTTCTAATCGTCATAAACAGTCCCCACACTCCAGACTGCCTGCCTTTACTATTTCCTTCATCACTTCCTACGTCGCGGACCTGTTTCCCTCCCTTCCCATAACATTTTTGGATTGCAGTTACCTTAATCTAATCGTCAAAAACAGTTCCCACACTCCAGACTTCTTGCCTTTACTATTTTCTTATCTACTTCCTACGTCGCGGACCTGTTTCCCTCTCTTCCCATAGCATTTTAGGATTGCAGATACGTTAATGTAATCGTCTTAAACAGTTCCCACCCTCCAGACTGCTTGCATTTACTACTTCATTCACCACTTCCTACGTCGCGGACCTATTTCCCTCCCTCCCATTGCATTTGATTTTAGCAATGCAGATACCTTAATCTAATCGTCAAAAACAGTTCCCACACTCCAGACTTCTTGCCTTTACTATTTTCTTCACTACTTCCTACGTCGCGGACCTGTTTCCCTCTCTTCCCATAGCATTTTAGGATTGCAGATACCTTAATGTAATCGTCTTAAACAGTTCCCACCCTCCAGACTGCTTGCATTTACTACTTCATTCACCACTTCCTACGTCGCGGACCTATTTCCCTCCCTCCCATTGCATTTGATTTTAGCAATGCAGATACCTTAATCTAATCGTCATAAACAGTTCCCACACTCCAGACTGCTCGCATTTACTACTTCCTTCACCACTTCCTACGTCGCGGACCTGTTTCCCTCTCTTCCCATAGCATTTTAGGATTGCAGATACCTTATTCTAATCGCCATAAACAGTTCCCACACTCCGGACTGCTCGTCTTTACTATTTCCTTCATCACTTCCTACGTCGTGGACCTGTTTCCCTCCCTTCCCATAGCATTTTAGGATTGCAGATACCTTATTCTAATCGCCATAAACAGTTCCCACACTCCGGACTGCTCGTCTTTACTATTTCCTTCATCACTTCCTACGTCGTGGACCTGTTTCCCTCCCTTCCCATAACATTTTTGGATTGCAGATATCTTAATCTAATCGTCAAAAACAGTTCCCACACTCCAGACTGCTTGCCTTTTCTATTTCCTTCACCACTTCCTGCGTCGCGGACCTGTTTTCCTCCCATCCCATAGCATTTTAGGATTGTAGATACCTTAATTTAATATAATCGTTATAAACGGTTCCCACACTTCGGATAGCTCACCTTGACTACTTCCTTCATCACTTCCTACGTCCCGGACCTGTTTTCCTCCCTTCCCATAGCATTTTAGGATTGTAGATACCTTAATCCAATCGTCATAAACAGTTCCCACACTAGAGACTGAGACTGCTTGCCTTTATTATTTCCTTCATCACTTCCTACGCCGCGGACCTGTTTCCCTCCCTTCCTATAGCATTTTTGGATTGCAAATACCTTAATCTAATATTCATAAACAGTTCCCACACTCCGGATTGCTCGCCTTTACTGCTTCCTTCATCACTTACTACGTCGCGGACCTGTTTCCTTCCTATCCCATAGCATTTAAGGATTGCAGACACCTTCTAATTGTCATAAACAGTTCCCACACTCCAGACTGCTCGCCTTTACTACTTCCTTCATCACTTCCTACGTCGCGGTACTGTTTCCCTCCCTTCCCATAGAATTTTAGGATTATAGATACCTTAATCTAATATTCATAAACAGTTCCCACACTCCGGATTTCTCGCCTTTACTGCTTCCTTCATCACTTACTACGTCGCGGACCTGTTTCCTTCCTATCCCATAGCATTTAAGGATTGCAGATACCTTCTAATTGTCATAAACAGTTCCCACACTCCAGACTGCTCACCTTTACTACTTCCGTCATCACTTCCTACGTCACGGACCTGTTTCCCTCCCTTCACATAGCATTTTAAGATTGCATATATCTTAATCTAATCGATATAAACAGTTCCCACACTCCGGACTGCTCGCCTTTACTACTTCCTTCATCACTTCCTACGTCGCGGACCTGTTTCCTTCCCTTCCCAGTTCCCATAGCATTTAAGGATTGCAGATATCGTAATCTAATCGTCATAAACAGATCCCACACTCCACACTGCTACCATTCCCATCTATATGGATCAGCTGTCGCCAATTTTTACTAAAAGAGAATGTACCTAGTTGTTTGAGCCAGTCACAGATTGCGCTAGTGTCTAAAACTCTATTTTGTGACTTATTTTTTGTTACTGACATAGTTGCTAGGTCACAACAGTTGCTATAGCTTATAAAAAGCTCATCAGTTTGACTTGGTAAAAACCATCATGTAATCGGCAGAAATCAGTAATTTAGATCAGTGCAATCTGTAGGTGGCTCACATCAACTAAGACAAATTTTCTAAAAAGACCTGGCTATAACTTTAACATGGGGATGGAATGTCTACAATGCTGCTACCCTTGACTACAATGTATTGAGTAATCTTCAGTATAATCTTTGCTCAATAGTAACAACTGATGTTTTTCCTTTTGTACTGTATTTTTAATTTGCTAGTATTCTGTGGACAGACAACTTACAAGTCTTTTGTTTACTTTTTCCTTGTTATTCTATTCAACCAACATGGTTACTTAGCAACCCAAAAGACTAATGTTAAAAAAATGTGACTTTCAATTTTATTTTTCCACGTAATTGGATTTTTGTTGGCAGTTCTAACGGCCAAAAATAAACTATTTACAAGATTTGAAAAAAAATCGTCTGAGCCGTTTTCGAGATCTTTCTGCAAGCAAGCATACATACAAGCAAACATTAGAGTATTGGATAAATATGTGTACCACAGATCCCCAGAACTTCTGTTCACACTTCTATCAGCTCTCATGAATCTTTCCAACCAACGGGACAATTTTGTTTATCTTCCTTTATTGTCCTTGGATCTTCAGCCTTTCACACTTCCACGTTGTTGTCTTTGTATTTCAAAATAAAGTCTGTAAACAAGAACAATTACAATATAAAACCTATAAATATATCATAATAGTCTACAAGTTAAGTAAATAATGTTTTTCTCTATGCACAACACACATTTGGAAAAAAAAAATACTGGATGCGAAGCGACTGTTATAACATCTTCCAATAATAATAACTGAAAAGGTAAATGTTTATATTACAAATACTAATGAAGAATATATTTATTTATATACCCCCGCCACAGCAAACCTGCAGACTAAGAGAATTTCCATTTCTCTAATTGATATACAATTAAATCTATTTAAATAACATTATGTTAAACGAGTACCTAGGTTTGCAGCTACAAAGAGCAGCATAAAGTTTGTTTTTTAGTAAAATACTAATAGCTTAGTATAAAATAAAGAAATTAGCCAAGTTTTATCAAAATATACTCATAAACAAGCAAACTACAACATTTTACAATATTCTCCATAAGAATAACATGGTAATTTTAAAATTAGGCCTACAATTTTTTGAATTTTCTCCATAACCAATAACCAGACAAAAACACTTCAATATACTAAATAATTTTTCTTTTTAATTTCTTTAAAATGATCTAGAGAGAAATTGGGAAACTTTGCGTTTTGATGGTAAAAAATGAGAAAACATGTAAAACCATGTGTAAAACAAATACCTCCGTCGCAGCAAACCTGCCGACTAAGTGAATTTCCATTTGTCGGAATTTATTTTCAATTAAATCTATTTAAATAACATTAGGTTTAACGAGTACCTAGGTTTGCTGCTACAAGGAATCTGTTAAAGTGGGGTTTTTAGTAAAATATCAATAGCTTAGTAAACAATAATTAAGA